GCCAGATGGCCAAGGTCAGGATAGCTGGGGGTGTCCCGCGATGATGAGGGGCTGGTGTGGAGGGGGAAGTTATGATCACTCTACTGGGGCAGGAAAGGAGGATCCTGGACATAGAGACCCCAGACCAGTACCCTTGACCCCAAGACAAGGAGAGCTTTAGACTCATCTTAGGACTCTCATAGCACAGGGTCAGTGGAGGTCAGACCCCAGAGTGGCCCCCTGTTTATGCCGCTTATGGTGGAGGGTATTAGACCTGTGACATGCCTCTAATCCACAGCGAAGGTGATGGGTACCACTCAAATGATTCTGCCAGGATGTGCAGACCTAAAGCAAGCGTGTCCTGCAGACTGTCCTGCCGGCCTTGAGAAGGGAAGCTGCCACGAAGCGGGGCAGATGGCCGGGAGACGCGGGCAGCCTCTGGGAGCAGAGGTCCACCGTCGTCCATCCACAAGGGACTGAGTTCACCACAGCCAGCTCCAGGTGAGACCCAGCCCAGGCTGACACCTTGCTTGCAGCCTTGTGAGACCCTGAGCAGAGGACCCAGCCACGCCAGGCCCGGGCCCTGGACACATGATAACTGTGCGATACAAGCTGCTGAGTGTTTGGTGATTTTTTAGTTGCAAAAGGAAGTGAACACAGTGCATATCTGCCACAGAAACACATACAGGCTGTGGACTATGGCTCTGCGATGAGACAGAACAAAGGACAGTAGAAATCTGGATTCTGCTACTGAACTGCGTCATGTCTCCTGGATGGTACAGAGAGAAACACGCAAGCAGAATGCTACTTGTGCTGGGCAGTGTCACTGCCCAGCTCCAGCAGCTTAAGGAGGCATTTATACCAGAGAGAACTCCCAAATCAAGTGTGAGTTTGTCTCATGTCTTTTTTATTTTTTGTGGGGTTTTTTTGGTCTCATTTTTCAAGCACCTCACATCACGCGACCTTTTGGCTGCAGTCACCCCGATGTTTACATACAGGTGTGACCTCAACACAGCCACCTCACCCAGTATCTAAGCAAAGATGGTAGTCTGTTCTAAGATGCGAGGAATGCGTGGCTCGCTCAGATGTACGGGGGTTGCAGAAAGGCTGGTCTCCAGCCTGGAGTCTTCCTGTGGGGTCTTTAGCAGGTGACTCTGATCAGGTGTGATGTTAGCCTTACCTGCTGACTCTGCAGTCAACCTGACACCTAAGATGTTCCCAGAACTGCTCCCTAAAATGCCAAAACAGAACCAAGTGGCCTTCCCCTCAGCTCCACGCAGCTCAGGAAACAGCCCAATCCAGGTTCAGGTTCAGACCCAACGCCCATTCGCTGTGAGGCTGTGTGTTGCTCTCTGCTGAGCCTCAGTCCCCTCACCTGTGAAATGGGGTCAGGGACAGTTCTCCCCTCAGCGGGCTGCCTCAGGGATAGGTGAGCTCATGCTCCGGAAATACTGAGCACAATGCCAGCTAGGTGCCTAGTAATGCTAACGATCACTACCATTTCCCTGTTCTGGATGCAAGTGAGTGGCACCCAGTGTGTCCAGGAAAGACCCTTTCTGGGAGGCAGGACTACGTGGAAAGCTCGAGCAGAAACCACAGCACTGGCTGGTACCAAGCGGCAGTGAGGGGGAGACACCAGGACCTGAGGCATCCTTTCTCCTGGGGCAGCCAAGGGCCAGAAAGTGTCTTTGGACCCTGGTCCAGTCTTACAAACTGCATCTTCACTTCTCCAAGGGGACTGCAGCATTTCTATAACAACGTTATAGAAAAGAATGAAACTTTACTTAAAATGCCATCAGCTGCCCTAGAAATCTCCCTTGACAGTTCAGAACTCACTGCTTAATTTAAGAAATACTCATTGTCATGGTTATTATTGAGTTGGCCAAGAAGTTCATTTGGGTTCTTATGGAAAAATCTGAACAAACTTGTTGGCTGATCCAATACTTTTACTATCAAGGAAAACAACCACTTACTATAAAATAAAACAAAACCTGTAGAGTCAAAAAAAATGCAAAACCCACCAATTTAGTTGACTTTCCCACCTGCCTCTCTGTCATCTCTCTCTGCTTTTCAGAGAAGGGGAGATATATGAATCTAATTGCATACAACTGAAATTATATGCAATATAATATATAATATCATTGAGAAAGGTTGGTCACTATATGATATAGGCTACATTTCTCACTCCACAATATGTCATGAGCATCTTTCCAAGTCAATAAACATAAATCCTCACCATGAAATCCGAGCAGCAGCTTAGAACTGGACTTTATAGATGCATATAGTTTACTTTAAAAAATTCCTTATTGATAGATATTGAGGATGTACCTTTTTATTATTTTTGCTAATAGAATCATGCCTCAACAAACACAGCTTCTCACACTCATATGGTCAACCGCAAGGTGTTCATTCCTAGAAGTGTAATTACTTGGATCAAAGAGTGAACACGTTTCTCACACTGAGACATGCGCCATAAACTGCCATCCAGAAAGGTCGGTCACCATATGCTGCCACCAACGGAGGCCACACGAGTGACCGCTTCTACCCACGACACCGGTTTGGGAGGCTGACCTGTGGATTCCAGCCAGAAAGACCCAGACCAGAGAACTGGGAAGGCTGAGGGTGGGGAGAGAGGAGAAGATCTTCTGATCTTCAGAACCTGAATCCCAGGAAAACTCTAAAAGTCTACAGCCTCCAGGGGGAAACAAGTGGGACAGTATCCCATCGGCCTTAATGAGGCGAGGCTGGAGGCTGGAGAATACCCAACCCAGCCCAAGGAAGCTGAGCATCAAGGGGAAGCTCTCCTATGCTCACGGAAAACGGAGCTCTCGGCCACCACTGGTCTTACTATGAACAACGAGCTTATGAGGTGGGAGGGTTTCTCCCCACTTATCTGACAACTTCCAAAGAAGCTTCTGCACTGTACCCCCAGCTGCAGGACTCTTTGGTGAGTCACTTTCCTGCTCCCCACTTTATCTTCTCACCTGCTAAATGTTTTTAGGACCGTTATGTTTTATTTCCACAGTCTTAGTGCAAGGTTACAAGAATCCTGTGTGGAGCCGTAAGACATGGTTCTTTTAAGATCATGAAAACTGTGGTAGCCAGCCTCCAAAGTGGCCCCCCAGTAATTCAGCAGAGGTGATGGCACGTGACTCCCCAGGGCACAGGAGGCATCCTGGTTTCTGCCTTGCTCTCTCTCTCCCAGATTTCTCATCCTGGGGGAGCCCGCCAGCCACAGCATAGGACAGATTTATGGAGGCATCCACATGCGAGGAACTGAGGCCAGGTGACAATGATGACCTAAGCCACCTTGGAGGCAGATCCTCTAGCCTCAGTCAGGCCTCCAGATGACAGCAGCCCCAGCTCATGAGAAACCCCAAACCAGAACCTGGCCCCAAAGCCATTCCCAGATTCCAGACGCACTGGCACTGTGAGATCATACGTGTTTCTCCTCTTACCCTGGACTAAGACCGAGGGTTCCTTTCTAACATGGCGAGAGGTAACTAACACACTTTCCCTCTCCCTCAGTCATCTTCCCTCCCACAAGAGGGAGAGGTGATTCATGGACTTGGGGTGAAGCCAGAAGACTGTGCCCCAGTGCTGGAGTGGCTCAGAGGCTCAGAGGGCGGATGCAGGCCCTGTGCCCTGGGGTACTTTACCGCACTCCCGTCTTGGTTTCCTCATCAACACAGTGAAGACAGAGATGGCGCTTACCTCATGGGGTGGTTGAGGGGCTTCAAACAAAGAAGAAACGTCTGGTCGGCTGCGAGGTGGCACAAGAAAGTCGGTTGTGTGGTTGTCATTTTTCATCATTTTTGCTCTTCTTCCTCTTCCTCTCAGCAACTCAGATAAATGTCTCTTTCAGGTGACCCAGCAGTGAGGTTTATTACTTAAAAAAATCAAAACTCAACCTCAAAATCTTTTAGGGAGAACAGACAGAGCCCAAAAGATGGGACCTTGGAGAGTGCAGCTTTGTACCAAACACCAGCATTGATTGGGGAAAAAGAAGGGAGCATTTCAAATACATAGCACACACATGGACCCTGCCCAGGACCACAAGAACATCTCTGATAAAGGAATCCACTCTTAGCCATTCATTTATCACTGTCACAGCATCTTGCCATATTCTTTCCATGTTCTTCTTATTTCCGTACTATTTTTTCTTTAAGTCAACTCACCTTATTTAAAACTAACATATTTTCAAAATATATTTCAGATCACTACCATAAACAGAAAGCCAGTATCACTTGCTATAAAGAGAAGATCATCATGAAACCAAATAACAATGATCAATACAAAACAACAAAAACAAAAATCCATGTGCCCCTTGACGGCATCGCAGGGCCACCACCAATACACAAGCAGACTGCACTTCGGGATCTCACCACAAGGTTAAACATCCTGGAGAGGTGGGGCAGGAGTGAACTTGGAACTGTAAATGCAGGGAGCATCTCTGGTACCTGGCTGACAGGTGGGGGTCGGGGGTGGTGGTGCACAGAAATCCATGCCTGATACCAACCACGGTCACATGACCTGAAGACCCCAATCCAACACCATGAGGTGGGCCCCCCAGAGCGCTCAGCACACATCTCTCTCTTTACCGTGGGGACAGTCAGATGACATTAAACTTCCTTCCCACTTTCCCAGCACCTCGGGGCCCATCGTCACATCAAGCAGTAAAGAGATTAGCTCGGGGCCCCTGCCCTGGTCGCTGCTCCCTCCAGGTCTGCTCCCCCAGCGACCTGGCCCTTCTCGGAGGGAGGTTCTCATCTTTCACATCATACACCAGGGCTAAGGCTCTGGCCCCAGGTGTTTCCTAACAGAAATTCAGTGAGTGCCTGAGAACATTTATTCCCCTCAAACCCAGTTACTTCTCCAGTGAGATCAGCTTTAGGTTACACACACACACACACACATACACATACACACTCCCGGTGATGGATGACGGCGATCAAGAAGGCTGAAAAGGATGCAAATGCAGTTTCAAACTCTAATCTGTTCAACAAAATGCTTCTACTTACTGAGTCGTGAGGACTGTTGTTGGCACTGGAGAGGCAGGCTGAATGTTCAGATGCGTAGTCCTGGCAAAAACAAAGACAGGAGTAGGTGGGAGAATGCGTTGAGGAAAAAAAATCTGATTTGTAGTAACCCAGTTTAGCACCATCCCATGGCAAGCTCGCCCTCCCTCCCATTCCCCTTCTCCTATAAGGGGTCTAGACCCTCACTGCCCAAAATGGCAGCCGCTAGCCACCACGTATGGCTAGTCTCAACTGAAATGTGCTGGAAGTATTAATTACATAGTGGATTTTGAAGACACAAGAAAAAAAAAAGTAAAATATCCTATTAATATTAATATCTCATTAATATTTTTATATTGATTACATGTTAGAATGATAATACTTAATAATATATAAAAATAAAGCATTTTATTATGTTTAAATATATAAATATATTATGCATATTTAAAATAAAATATATTGTTACAATTAATTTCATCTGTTTCTTTTTACTTTTTAATGTGTCTATGGGAAACATTTAAATTGCGTATGTGGCTCTCATGACATCTCTACCAGGCAGCACCGGTCTAGAATTTTTTGAATGTGGACACTTCATCCTAGCCTGAGGACAGAGGTGGCAGTTTGATGGCGTCCCTGGTAGCTCAGATGGTAAACAATCTGCCTGCAATGCAGGAGACCCAGGCCCAACCCCTGGGTTGGAAGAGGACACAGCTGGTCCCGTGAAAACCACGCCCAGTGTTACTTCCTCTGTAACTTTCCCCTGTTTAACACTTGCAACAGCTCCAGTCTATGGAGCACCTGGGATGCTGTGTGCCTGGAGATCTTCATGCATTTTCTTCTTTAACCCTCACAAGGACACAGGAAGGAGGTTTCGCTCTCAGCCCCATTTTACAGCTGGAGAAACACGAGAGAGGCTGAGAATTCATCCAGGGCAGCTCACTAGGGATGTTGTGGAGCCAGGGCTTAAACCAAAAGGTTAAATGGACGGGTGTTAACCACTGTGACCCCCTTCTCCCTGTGGGGCCTTTATCCACCTCTCCGTGTGCAGCACACGGGAGCCCGTCGTAGCCAGTCACTAACCAAGTCTGGGGAGCTTGCCCCCCAGAAGATGCCTGCAGTGCCCATAGCTCCAAATTTTCATTAAAGTCATCAGGTTTCACCTCAAGTCACCCCTTAAACCTCCTGGGCAGAGACAGAGACAAGTGTGTGTGTGTGTGTGTGTGTGTGTGTGTGTGTGTGTGTGTGTTCATGCATGTGAAAGAGATCAAGATGGAGACAGAGACACGGAGACCAGAGGAGAGAGAGACAGAGGGAAGGAGCTGGGCCAGGCACAGTTGCTCAGACCCATCTGCACAGTCCTGAGAGGACAGTGTCTGTAAACAGATTTGAACTCACAAGGAGGAGACAGACCCTGCTTGTCACCTCCCTTTCTGCAGTTTTCCCACAGTCAGTGGTCACGGGAAGAGCTGACAACCAGAAAATCAAACCTGTATTTGTGCCTCTCCTTCCTCTCCAAGGAACAGTCCTCACACCGCCCCCCACCGACGACCCCCAGGTTACTAAAATGAAGCAATGAATTAAGGAAAGAAGGAAGAGAGGGGTGGGCTTAAGCGTGAATCAGAGCCCCCAGACAGGGGCTGCACAATGCGGCCCCCGAGTGGAGAGAAGGGGGAAGGTGGGGCCGAAGGGGTGATGCTTCTGACAGACACACTGATTCTCCTTTGATGGGCGTCCTGTGGCCCCGAGAACGGCTGGGTTTTCTTACTTCCTTCTTGAGCCAACTAAAAGCCCTGCTTGAGTGACAAGTTCAGCCCAACGGAAGATCTCAACCAGGGGACTGTATCCAAGCGTTACAGACACCCTGGGGCCCCTGCCTCCTGGGTGCTCCTTTCTCTGAAAGGGACCCTGAGGCCACAGCTGCCCCAGGCGGACTGGCCTCTGCCCACTTCCCGCTGGTCCAGGGATGCACAGCTGCCCAAGAGCACCCATCTTGGGCTCTCTCAGGAACAGGAACCAAGAGAGAGAGAGCCCCTGGGGTCTGGGGGTTCAAACCCTCCCATTCAAAGCCAGGCTGGGGTCCACGTGCTCAGTCGTGTCCAACTCTCTGCGACCCCACGGACTGTAGCCCGCCAGGCTCCTCTGTCCATGGGATTTCCCAGGCAAGAATACTGGAGCAGGGTTGCCATTTACTACTCCAGGGGATCTTCCTGACCCAGGGATTGAACTCGAGTCTCCTGCACTGGCAGGAGGGTTCTTTACCAATAATGCCACCTTGGGTCCATACCAACCACTAGCTCTGGAAAGATGAACTCAGGGTTCAGTTCAGGTCAGTTCAGTCACTCAGTTGTGCCCAACTCTTTGTGACCCCATGGACTGCAGCAGGTCAGACCTCCCTGTCCATCACCAACTCCCAGAGCTTACTCAAACTCATGTCCATTGAGTCAGTGATGCCATCCAACCATCTCATCCTCTGTCATCCCCTTCTCCTCCTGCCTTCAACCTTTCCCAGCATCAGGGTCTTTTCCAATGAGTCAGTTGTTCACATCAGGTGGTCAAAGGATTAGAGTTTCAGCTTCAGCATCAGTCCTGCCAATGAATATTCAGGGTTGATTTCCTTCAGGATGGACTGGTTTGATCTCCTTGCAGTCCAAGGGACTCTCAAGAGTCTTCTCCAACACCACAGTTCAAAGGCATCAATTCTTCAGCACTCAGGTTTCTCTATAGTCCAACTCTCCCATCCATACATGACCACTGGAAAAACCATAGCTTTGACTAGATGGACCTTTGTTGGCAAAGTAATGTCTCTGCTTTTTAATATGCTGTCTAGGTTGGTCATAACTTTCCTTCCAAGGAGTGAGCATCTTTTAATTTCATGGCTGCAGTCATCATCTGCAATGATTTTGGAGCCCCAAAAAATGAAGTCTCTCACTGTTTCCATTGTTTCCCCATCTTTTTGCCTTGAAGTGATGGGACCAGATGCCATGATCTTAGTTTTCTGAATGTTTAGTTTTAAGCCAACTTTTTCACTCTCCTCTTTCACTTTCATCAAGAGGTTCTTTAGTTCTTCATTTTCTGCCATCAGTGTGGTGTCATCTGCATATCTGAAGTTACTGATATTTCTCCTAGCAATCTTGATTCTAGCTTGTGCTTCATCCAGTCCAGCATTTCACATGATTACTCTGCATATAAGTTAAATAAACAGGGTGACAATATACAGCCTTGACGTACTCCTTTCCTGATTTGGAACCAGTCTGTTGTTTCATGTCCATTTCTCACTGTTGATTCTTGACCTGCATACAGATTTCTCAGGAGGCAGGTCAGGTGGTCTGGTATTCCCATCTCTTTAAGAACTCAGGGTTAAGCCAAAATTAAGAGCCTTACTTTTAATAGCATCACCGATTCAACGGACATGAATTTGGGCAAACTTCAGGAGATAGTGAGGGACAGGGAAGCCTGGCATGCTGCAGTCCGTGGGGTCACAAAGAGTCAGATACAAGTTGCCAGCTGAACAACAACAACAACGAAAGAACCTCCCAGAGGAAGCTGATTGGAAAGGAAGAGAGGCCCCTGGCGAGCAGTTCCTCCCACCGTGGCAAGAAGCCCTGGGCCTGGAGAGAGACAACTTACTGGTCCTCAAGCATGACCTTACTTGGGAACCTGGCCACCCAAGGAATGTCTATCCAGCTGCCCCCGCGAGCCTCTTCCTTCCCTCTGCCCCTTCTTCACATCCCCCACCACGCACAAGGCAGGGGCCTCCTCTGACCGCAGACCTGAGCCCGGGGTCCCTGAGGCCCGGGCTCTGCTCAGCTGACCCTCCCTCACTGTGCCCTACTTCCTTCCCGGGTCCATTATCAGGAGCAGAGAAGCCTTCACCCAAGGAGGTGGAGGAGGCACCGCCTCAGTCTGTCCCCTCCACAGGCCCCCTCTGTCCTCCCACCTCTTGGAGGGCATCTCTCACCCGTAGCGGTTCGGGCATCTGCTGCACTGGCAGTCCCCACACCGCCGGCACGGTCCCTGCTCATCCTGCACAAAGCCGCTGACTCTTTGCCCGAACCCCTGGGTTTCCTTTACCTTGAAAACAGCGAGAAGCACATGAATAGGTTCTGAGCTAGATTACGGAGACCGAGATGAGAGATGTTGTCTCTCAAAGAAGGGAGAGGAAGCAGCCATCTGATGCTGTCCTCGTTTCCAGAAAGCCCCTCTTGTTCCCACCCCACCCTGCACCTATAAACAGCTACAGCTTCTGACTCAAGCTGGTCCATCCTGATGAGATCTTTCAGCAGGAGAGAGACCTAACTGCCTCCCCTTCATGGGTCAAGCACCAGGCCCCCAAGCTGGCTGTCTCCCTTGATGCTGGCTGCATCCTTCCCTGGGCCTCGTGGCCTCCCTGGAAGTCCAGTATTCTGCCCCTGGAATTATTGTCCTTTTGTGACTCAGTTTACAGCTTTCAGAAGCTGGGGTACAAATTGTCAGCAGTGGGCACTGAGCCAGTTTAAACAATGACCGAGGTGGGGAGCCTGCAGAACCGCCAAGCGCCACCCTCTCAGGGATTCGGTATGGCCTGGTGTGAGCTCCTGGAGAGCCGTGGTTGGTGGCATTAGAATGTGACGTTCCCTGCACAAAAATGAACTGTAAAGGGTTTATCCTCCAGGTTGGGATCCCCAGGTGGCGCTGGTGGTAAAGAATCTGCCTGCCAATGCAGGAGACACAAGAGATGCAGATTTGATCCCTGGGTTGGGAAGATAGCCTGGAGAAGAAAATGGCAACCTGCTCCAGTATTCCTGCCTGGGAGAATCCCATGGACAGAGGAGCCTGGTGAGCTACAGTCCATAGGGTTACAAAGAGTTGGATATGACTGAGTACACACACCACCACCCCATCCTTCAGGTTAACAGAAGGCCAAGACCTTGGCTAGTTAAAGCCTTCTGAGTAGTGGACAGTGGGTGAGGGGTTGGGGGTATGGTGGGGACCCTGCGGTGGACACTAAGACCTGCAGGAAACTCAGCTCTGAAAGGGAGGTGGGATCAGCTCTTCAAATGCCTGCTACCCAATCTCATTACACC